GTAACAAGAAGCTACTGGTAGCTAGAAGCTATTAGGTTGGAGGCCATCGCCAGTAGGTTGGAGGCCATTACTACTAGTAACAAGAAGCTACTAGTAACAAGGAAAGTTCCAAGGGATCCGTGCAGTCAACATACCAAAAGTGCCGTCAACGTGCCAAGAGGATTTTCGGAGTGTCAAAGCAGGGTTGTCACGCGCAGAACCAGGCTTCGGGCGGCAAACACAGGAGCAAGAATATCATTGATGTCCACGCAGTTGTACCCACAACAATAGTCTTGACTCTGTCTTCACTGTGTGCGTGCATCGCGTAAACCCTGTAACCAGCCAAGGTAAGAACCCCCCCAAAAGTGGAACATGTTTTAACTCTGTCTCACCTCTGCGCGTGTATTGCGTGAGTGCAGTCATCTGCCAAGGTAAGGGCCACAAAGTGGAAGATGTTTTATTTCTGTGTTAACTCTGTCTTAACTCTTTGACGTAACAACACCATGGTTCAACGTAACATAAAGTTTTTTTTCGACGTAGTAGAATTTATATATAATTTGCGACAAACACGTAATATGTCGATTGTTTTTTGCATGTTGAAAAACCTGGTCCCACATTCCAATCCCTTAAGTTTCCCATATTATTCCATACTTAAGGAAATCACTGGACTGGAAATCATATGTTGTCAAAATATGTCAATCATATCACTGACTATCACTGTCCAATCCCTGGAAGGCAGCCTGTGGACATTTTGGCGCACAGCTTCGGCACTGCTGTTGCCAGTGCCCTGATACAAAAGCTGGAGGTGCATGAGGTGCCAAGAACATGACGAGTAATCAAAGGAAACCAAAACAAATTGACAGAATCAAGCTCAGTTTTCTATCAAGAGATCAAGCAGAGTCGGAAGTGTCCAGTTGTCGGCTTCTTCCCAACAGGGTCTCCAATTCTTTCTCCCTTTTCTTAGACTTCTTTGTTGGCACATCGTCTTGCAGGTGCAGCCTACGAAGAGTGCAGTTGTGCGGCGTGCAGTCCTGATGGATCCGATGTGTTTCGTTCCAGGCTGTGCCATCAGTTTGTGTGGTCTTCAGTGGAGGGTTTGTCGCACATTTCTCAAGTTTGATTTGGGCACCTTTTGGCTGATTCAATTCCTGGCCCGAAGGAATCTCCAAGCAAGCTCAACTTTTGCGTCGAACGCCAATGGACCTCACCACCGAACTATTGTCAGAGACCGTACCAGGAAGCTCAGGCACTGTGGTTGCGAGCCGGTCTGCAGACTCTGTCCTTGAATTGAACATTACATAGAGATGAGATGAGTGTTGCTGTGAACACACGCGTGTACCTACATGCTGTTGTTCGTGTGAAACCAGCTGACTTGTATGGCATGTGGTCTTCACTGCCACACTGTCGCGAGGCTTTTCAATGTGGGAAGTGCTGCGGAACGTGGTGAACAGACCCGATCCTTGCGTCAGTGCATCTCTGGATGAGGACGATTGGTAGAGGCTTCGAGCCAAATAGTTGGTTGCGTTGGTTTTGGGGTTATTTGCAAAGGAGACAGCTGCTGCAGAGCGGCGGAAGTGGTGGCTTGTCTAGCAGTTGGAAGCAACCACTTATGACTTCTCACTTGTTGCTCGCATGCTTCTCTGGGCTACAATTTGAATCGATTTGATTGCAGAACCAGTGGTAGCAATGCGCTTCACTATCCACACGGACAGTGGTTTAGAGTTTTGTTAGTCGAAACTCTTTTGGGTAGCGCTGTGTGTAGTTGCACTGGGTTCTTCGAGGATTATCCACCAGACGTACTTCTTCAACTACTTCATTTTTCGCGATCTTGTGTACAGATGCTCGAATGCAAGTTGTGTAAAGTGTTTGAAGACCAAGCTGTGGCACTTCATCCCGACCCGTAGACTTTTTGCTGGGGAACTTGGACTTGCCAGGTGCTGTGCCATGTCTCTGACAGACATGCACACACATGATGGATATGGGAGGAATCGAGTCCGTCGAATCGATCGAATATGACATGTGTGCGGTTCTTGGCTTAGTGGCTTGCCGTTCGACTAGGCAATTGTAGGATATTGCAGGTACGTCAGGGTGATCACCCCTGATATCCCCATGTACTCTGGCAACTTCATTGGACCATCACTCACAGCAAATGGATGGTCCCTGGCTTGCGCAAGAAACAGACCGATCGCATTGCACTGCTTGCTTTGCTTTAGGCCGTGGTTTTTTGCTGGTGGAATGGCCTCCCAAAAGAACCCACATTGAGCTAGAGGGCGGTTTAGTGGTCCCCACTAGGCTGCCTACCTGCTTAGCCTTGCTCTCATGTCGGCTGCGAGCGGTGAGTGGCAACACATGGCGACCAAGCAGCTGCCGTGCCACTCCCAGCTGATGATGCAGCTTGCCCGTGGCAAGAGCCTGGAGGCGACCCATGGCAACCTGGTCTGAGTGAAGGGCAGGGAGCACAGATGACCGGACAGGGGCAGACGATGGTAGAGATGGGCTCTCCATCCCAACGACCGGGTTGGTCAGTGATATGGGGTCCAATCCCCACAACCGTGGCGACAGCAGAGAGTGAAATTTCTGAAGAGAAGGATCCTGGAAGAATCGCTCCAACCTTTTGCCTTTCTCAATCCAGCCAAGAAGATGAAGAAATTGAAGACAGAGAGGAATCGTCCTCGGGGCAGAGGCAGGTCTACGTGGCCCAGAACAAGTCAGTCACCAAGGGCATCAGAGGGCGGCTGGGGCATGAAGTGAAGGAGATCGGAAGCCAATTTCGAGAGGAGGAGGAGGAGGAGCGCCAAATCTCACAAAAAAGCCACTGAGAAAGAGGACCAGGCTGGAAGGGGCAGCAGAACTGGTTGCGCATGGTTCCGGGCTATGTCCAGAACGGCGTCAGCGCGCCCCAGTTCTTGGGATGAACGTTTCAGACTTTGCTGGAGGAGCCCCATTGCCACACGTGTGGTAGAGTGGTAGAAGGGGCAGAAAAGGTTGCGGTAAGAGGACGACAACCAGAAGGGAAGGATGTGAGGAGAAGACTTTGAAGAAGAAGATCCGGAAGAGAATGAAGAAGAGGAGACCAGAAGAACGAGTTCAATGGAAGCTGCAGCTGGAGAAGTTGCGCCAACGTTTGGGTCGTCCGACCAATCGTAAGGTGGCCAAAATGCTTTCACTGTCCGGAGCGAAACGAAGTAGCGCAAGCAGCGCAACAATATCACTGCCCAAGTTGTGAAGAGACAGCGCCGCCCGCCAGGAAGATACGACAAGGCCAAAGCCGAGGTATGCGCGACAATCTTTGGAAAGGAAATTCATGACTACGAAGGAAAGCTCTAGACTCTATGTGGCCTTCAGTATGGTTGACGCTGCCACTTCACCCACTACACTAAGCAGTGCTGCTCCGGAACAGGGATGCGCGCAACTCTTCAACAGAGTGCTGCTCGATGCCTTCCTCTATAAGAAGATGGAGATCTCCAGCAACTGGCGCCAAGAGCCCAAAACGTCAGGCTACCTCATCACCGACGCCAAAGGCCTGCGTGACCACCTCCACAAGACAGCTGGGGTGGCTTCTCCGAGAGCGTTGGACATGATGTTGATGAAGCAGATGATCGCAGAAGCGATCGTTCGGTTGAACTGGACACCAGCGCGGAAGCAGTTGGCCGACCCCTCACCACAGATATTGCTTAGAGACCCTAAAGAAAGAGGGGAAGCTGTGCCTCATCCAAGCGATGCATGATCAACGTGAAGAAAAGCAACACTATGTCCTTGGGATGTGACTTAGATGGTGTTCGCTTGCTGTGTTCCTTGCGGTTTTCTCACTTTCATGCACCAGAGGCATTTGAATGTTCGCTTACGCAAAAGAAACCCGATCGCCATTGCACTGTTTGCTTTGCTGTGGGCGGTGGTTGGATCCCCTCTTGCGACTTTCCCCTCAAAGAGCCCATACTTAGTGGGGTACACGCACTCACACACGGGCTCTCTTTTTAAAATCTTTCAACTCACTTTTATGTGAAGTGAAGCGTGCAAGAGGTTAGGACGTTGGAGAGTACCCTGCTACTGCCAGGTGGAAACCATGTGTCGTTTGACCGACGCGTCAGCAAGTGCATCCTGCATGTCACCCAGAGTCCAGATGGTTTTGTGCAACTGAGGCTGGGTCAACAACCGTGCGCTTTTTGGTCCTGACTACTTGGACCGTGGCCTCTTGCGAGAACTAAACCGCCAGCGCAGGACCTCGATATGAAATCGCTCAAAGACGGTTGATTGGGTTGTCTCACCAAGGTTTGATTTTTTTGTCAACAAATATGTGGTAGCAAATGTACATTGCCGATTGAGTTGCTGCAGGCTGCTGACAATTGTTGCTTGGAACTCAGTCTGCCACACGTCCTGGGCAAGACGTGCCAGGTTGACTTGTGTTCTCCTGCGATTTGCATCCGAACTGTTTGTTCTCAAGGTGACCTCTTTTTCTTTGCCACAGTTTCTGAACATGTTTTGCTGAAGAAAAGAATTGTTTGACTATTGAATAGGAATCTGCTAGAGTTGCCTTTGCAGATCTTTTGCAGCGTATTAGGCTATGACCTGCCAAATTGGCACCACTTGATTTATCGCAAAGGGAGTAACGACAGCTCAGCATTGCCCCACGCAAGCAAAACATGTTTTGCTAAGGCAGAGACAGACACCATGTGCTTTGGACTACAAGAGCGATGTTTTGCACCTTTCACCGGAATCAAATATTTACTATTGCAAAGGTGCTGTCTGGTTGGATGAGATTGTTCTGAGCCCAGGATTCCTGCATCCCAACTTCGAGCTGAACTTGCCTCTGAAGGAAGTGTCTGGTCAAAATGTGGCAGACGTAGTCACATTTGACAGACTCAGCTTCGATGAATCCCTCAGTGAACGTTGGTACATGGCATGACGATCCTTTTCAGCTAGGTTGACGGGGGGGCTTGTGCCGATGCATAACGGATATCATTCACCGTTCTCACTGTACATGTGCATAGAGGATCGCTTCCTCATTTCACACATCCCTTTTTGATCCTCTATGTGTGGATCTCTACTATTCAACTTTTCCAAAAACAAACAACCAACTCAACAAACTCCAATCAAGTCTTCTTTGGTGCTTTTCCAATCCAGCGAAGTAAGGTTTGGTCCTCCGTCAGTCTCATAGCACCCACTTGTAGTACTTTTCGAAGTAGGTCCATTTTCACTCGAAGCTTCGTTAAGCCATCGACCAGCATGTGATCCGTAGGTAACCATTTGACTTGTACATTGTCTTTGGCTACATCTCTCTTGACCAGCAGCATTTCTATTGCCATCCTCTTGTCCTTGACGGTCATCATCTGTCCGTTCAAATGATCGAACACAGGTCGAGAGTCCACTGAAATGGTCAGTGGAATCCTTGAGCTCCATAGCTGATCTTCTTCCAACTTGTACTGGAAAAACTTTGCCTCGGCCCATAGTGACCTTACCCATTTTGCTTCTGAGATCGTTCGGGATAAGGTCATAAGCTCAGCTCCCAGGGTAGATGCCACTTGTCTATCCTGTTTGTAGCTGCGCCATCGAAGTGGTGAAAGGTCAGCCCATTCACCATTCCTCAATCTTTCTTCAGTACCACAGATCATGTATCCTCCTTGACTTTTCATCTGTGATGCATTTGCAAAGCTAGCATCTGACCATGCCGAGAATTCCAGTTTGTCCGGATGGATGGATTTCACACAAATTTCGGTATTCGAAAAATCTCGAGCCATAGAGATCAAACGGTTCACTTCTATCATGTCACCAACCGTTGATTGAGCAACCCTTTGTTGAAGCAAAGAACAACCAGCAGCCAGGTCAGGTCTTGACCCTGTGACTAGCTATTGCACTTCACCAAGAACACCTCTCATTTGCGTTTTCTCTTGTGGGGTGGTTTCTTTCTCTTTTTCTTTTCTTCTTTCCTTGCTGATGGGAATACACTCTATCGTTTCGGCATACTCCTTCTGTTGAATGACAATGTTCGCATTGTCCATTTGTTTCAACTGCTTACCCAAAAACTCACCTGAACCTCGTTTCACATGTTTGAAAGGATACTTGGCTTTCAACGTTTCAAAGTGCCCGGCAAAGAATTCCTTAGTGCCGCCAATCAACAGGTCGTCCACGTGGAATGCAATGACTCCGTTCACTTGTCCAACAGCATCTCGACTGTAGAACATGCAATTGTCAAGTGCTGATTGTTGAAGTCCTTGATCTCTCAATGTCTTGGTCAGGGAATTCCACCACAATCTCGGTGCATCAACTAACCCGTAGACGGGTTTGACCAACTCACACACGGTTTCTTTTTCATCGTATCCTGGAACACCTCCTGGTGGTAGTCGAACAAGAATCCGACCTTTTTGTCTTTCAATGTTGTCACCACGCAAAAAGGCACCTTCCACATCTGCTATCACCATTTCCCACTTGTAGCTTGCTATGAGTTGTAAGGTTACTGCAAAACCTTCATTGCTCAGCGTTGGTGATGCTGTCTGGAGTTCCAAGACGTCGGGGTCAAGATACCCCTTCACACACCATCTAGCTTTCAGCACTCCTTCCGGAGTTCCATCATCTGAAGTGTACACAAACCTTGATTGAAGGGTTCTATCTTTTCCTACCTCACTCTCAACCCTTCTAGCTTCATGACCAACATGAACCTTCATGGACCCCGAGTTAATTATCTTCTCCCATTCCTTGGTTTTCGCTCTGTTCAATTCTTCACGTTTCACAGGAGACAATTGTTTCTCCTGCAACTCAGGATGTTTGACCTTTGTTGTTTCTGTTCACTCTTGTCAACATCGCTCACAGTTTGCGCTTCGTTCATCGTTTCATCGTTTGTTTCGTTCACAAGAACATGAAAAGGCATCCCTTTTTGATGTTCCAAACACAAGGTTTCATGATCCTGCGTACGACGAATCGGGGCTCCGAAATCGAGACTATTCAAACTATTCCTCATAGCATGAGTCAAGGATCATGTCCGTACAGGTCCGTACTGTGTGTTCTCCATAGTCCATGCGCCTGCGGGTGCGTCCATGTGTGTGTCACTTCCTGGTGGTTCTGCTGCTGGTTCATCAACTGACATCTGTCCTTGTTGTTCTGAACCTGCGGGAGATGGAGCATTCATTGCCTCAACCGGTTCTTGTTGTACACCTCCTCCATCTCGCAACATGTCTGAAGCACCTTCTTGTTCATGAACACCTGGAACAACCAACTGTTCAACATGTTCCATGTCAACGTCCTCTGAGCCTCCTTGCACTCCTTGGCCATCTTGGGCCTCGTGCTCAGCTCCTTCTCTGACTTCTTGCTCTTCCGGTGGCGGAAACCTTTCTTTGTCAAGTTCCACCAAATTGCCAGCACCTCTTTCACGAATGGTACTCTTCCAATTTCTCAATGTAATGGGCAACCATGCTGACAACTCAACAATTTCCGAATCAACATGCTTCACCTGTTCTGGCGCACATCGGTACACTTTGGCACCATACATGACCCATATCTTTTCAGTCTGTGTCCCAATGACCCTGCCTGGTCCATGCCAGTGGTGTTCTCTCCACATCATCACTTGGTCACCAACTTCAAACGGTCCTCTGTTTGGTCGACTTCCATGGCTTATGGCCCTTTTCAACTTACTCTCACTGTCAGCATCCAGAAATGCCTTCCTGGCTGCCAATCTGATTTTCTGGGCTTTCATATGCCTTTCTTCTTTCTCATGCAACGCCGACTCTTGCGTCTCATTTCCTTCACCAAGCATTCCCAACACAGGCACGCGCAAATCCGCACCAAGCACATGTTGATGAGGAGAGAATCCATCAACCCTTGTCATTGTGTTATGTGCACAATTCAGTTGATCACAGAGCTCTTCTGTCTCTTCTTTTGACTGAGGATCACACTCCAACATTGACTTACTGAAGGCCACCTTCCATGCACCACCAAGACGCTCACATACGCCGTTCTGCCATGGTGCATATGCTGCCGTGACTGCATGTTCTGTACCATCACCTGCCAAATGATCTGTCCATCCAGCTCCAAACTCTGGTCCACCGTCACTCACAATGGTCTTTGGTGCACCTGCCCACCTTTTCCAATACCTACGAAAGGCTTTCCTGACATGTTTCACTTCAATGCCTTTCCACAATGGAATGCACAACTGAAAGCGAGTTCCAATGTCCACAATGTTCAACAACTTCAGCTTTCGCCATGGCAACTCAACTTCAAACGTATCAACGCATACAACTTCATTGAAGTCCAAGTCTTTGATTGCCTTGGCCACATTGTGGCTTTTTCTCACCCTGGATGGCCTGACATGTATGGCAAGTCAGTCCTTTTGCAATCCTAAGACATGTTTCATTTGCTCTTGCTGCCTTCAGCATTGCTACAAATCGTGCTGTCGACGGGTGTCCAAGGTTCTCATGGCATCTTCTCAACAACGCTGCTATTCGTTTCTCATCCTTAGTGTCTAAGGCTTCGACCGTCAAGACACAATGTACTGTGTGACTCTGTTTGCGTTTCTCCGTATCTTCAACAAGACCCTTCAAGATGCTTCTACAAAACTCTCTAGGATATTCTTGAGCAAGCCTTGACCTGTTTGTCCAGCCTTGTGTCGTTTTGACCGAACCCATCACATGTTGATGTTCATGCGACTTGTCACACAAAACCCTCATGTTCCTAGCGATTTCTTCATTGTTCAACATCATTCTGGTTCGTTTCCTATGGGGTTTGCCGTTTTGTTTGTCCACAAGTCCATACATGCACTGGTCCAAAACAACCTGTTGCACTCCCTCAATCTTGCTGACTCCTACGACGGTCCTCCCACGAGAACAGCACCGTGGGGCTGTTCAAACACAACAAGATCAACCCTTCTAATTTGATCACGTGCCAACTGCATGCTATATCGAAGAAAAAGTCTGCTTTCACTGACCTGCTTCAACCAGTTCTTCAAATCATGGTGTTTGTTAAACTGCTGAAGCGGGGATGACGCTCCACAAGGGGGACATAACATCAAAAGGCGGGGTCTCATGATTTCCAACTTGTCACGAAGTTCCTCTCTCTTTTGACTGCTGCGGAAGTCCCAGCCGGTAAGGATATCATATGATCCTGCGCTTTTCAAACCGGCATCCTCAGCCAGTTTACAAAGACGTGGCACTGAAAATACTTCGGCCACAGTAGCATTGGCCTCTTGAGCCGGAGTGATAATCAAAACATCTACTTGTTCTCTTCCATTGGACTCTCCAGTCCAAGCCCTCTCCAACTCACCAGTGAGAAATTCAATTTCCTCTGGTGCCAAGGATCTACTGTTGCCACTGCCATCAGTGCTGTGGCTCACTTGCTCTTGTAAGGCCTGGTCTTCGGCTGTGCATTGGCTGTTGCCACTGCTTCCCAGTCTGACGTGATCTCGCTGTTCCAATCCTCTTCCTGTTCCATGCCATTCTCCTCGTCGAACTGGTGAATCCATCCTCCACCTTCGCGGCCGCGAGTTCGAGGATTTGCCAAGTGGTTCACCCTGGCAAGGATTCTCTCTGCTGCCTCCTGAATGGCTTCCTCGTTGGTCTCCTGACTTCCTCGAGCCTTCGAGGGGTTCTTGCTCTTGGCCTTGTGCAGAATTGGCATTTGCTTCTTCCCGGCCTTCTCTGGCTGCATTGCCTTCTTTTCCTGCCACATGATCTGAAGGCGCTCCTTCTTCGCATTGTCCAGGCACTCGATGTAGAGGCGAAGCTTCTTCATCCCTGCACAGGACTTGGTGGTGATGTGGCTGCGAATCCACTGCACATAGCTTTTCTCTTCGCGATACACCTGGGCATAGCTCTTCTTGCCCTTGAACTTGCCTGCTTCGCAGAGATCTGTACCCATCAGGGGACATTCCGCCTCGTCCTCGGAATAGTCGCTCGCCTCGTCCAGGCGACTGCTCGCAAAGAAGTCGTTCGGGGTGGTCTCTTCCTGCATCAGATCCTCCATCAGATCCTTGGCCAATTGGCTGGTCATCACGACGATCACTTGGGACTTTCTTTTGTCGACCGGGTGCCTCGAGCACTGGAATGGCATAATGACCACGAGCAGTACGTTTCAACTTGATTGGAGTTTCGCTCAATTTATGAAAACCACGCAAATCCCTCTTCATGTCCAACACACACTCCAACTGTTTCAACAACTCTTTCGAAAACAAGAAAGGAGTACGAGATCCACTTCCAGGTAAAACCGCTGCATGCACAACTACCTGCCGCTCTCCCAGCCAAATGGGAATCTGTGCAACTTCTTCTGAAATGAGGGTGCCAGCATTACCAAACCTGAACTCATTCACCTCATGCCTCCTAATGACTCTAAACCCTTTTTGATTCAGTCTCTTTTCGACTCCCCTAAGAATCATTTCCCCAACAAGAGTCTTTCGACAAGCGGTGTCTGGCACTGCATATTCGCACAGATCTGCGGGCTCCAAATCAGTATGATGGATTTCAAAATCTTGAGGAGAACTTTCATGCGCCCCCCGTCTCACAGCTCTCAGTACATCTTGTTCATATTGAGTGATCATCACTTCGTGTTCCTCAAAGCTGAGTGCTTGACGCATGGGATCTTCCTTCAACTTCGCATTCGTGGTCCTGAGCTCCAAAACGGTCTTCCCAGTCCACATCTTCTTTTGCTTTGCATGTGGTTTCTTGCTGGTGTAGATGTTGTCCTCCAAGGTCTCCACCTCACCATCCAGATAGATGATTTCCACTTTCCGGTTGCCAGAGATGTCCTCCATCTTGACAGGCGTGTCACTCATTCCCACCGGTGAGAACAGCCCTTTTCGTGTCTTCACATGGTGTCGAATCAGCTCTTTCTGAGTGACCTCCCAATAGTCCTTCTTGTGACTCTTCTTTCCACTCTGGACATTCTCCACCTTCTGGTCCTCTTTCTCCTCCGGGACCTGGTCATTCTTTTCCTCCATGCCCTTGTCATTCTTGGTCTCCTGGTACTTCTCATCCACCGCGGACTCAATGGTGTAGATGTCGAAGGTGTCATCATCGCTCTCCATGACCTCTACACAATGCACTTCTTTCTCAGTGCTTTTCTCCTTGTTTTTCAGGGGACACTCCTTCTTCCAATGTCCAGTACGTCTGCATAGATGACATTTGGTCTTCTGCTCGGGAGCCTCGATACGGCCCTTTACAGATCCAGTCAACTGCCATGACGTCGATGAGGATGATGGTGTCCGATATCCCCTACTGATCTTCTTCTCCTGCATCTTGCGTCTCACATTGGTGTAGGTCTCATAGGTGTCTAGGGCATCTTCTGAATCATAGTCTTCATTCTCCTGGATCTGGTTGGCAATGGTCTCCATGATCTCAAAGGGTTCGGCCTCGCTCTCGTGTAGTCGTTCTTCTTCATGTTTCATGGTGGTCACCTCCTGCTCTGCCACGAAGATGTCCTTCGTTCTGGCATTCTTTGATGACTTGCCATGAGGAAACACGTTGCGAACAGCCTGTGCTATCTCTTGGTACTTGACTGAACCCTGACTGGCTGTGAGGATCATGGATTCTGAGTTGGCTTCAAGTGCCAACTTCTTGAGTAGCATCCAACCTCGCACCTCTTCTGGCAACTCCACTCCATTCCTCACCAAGGCCTTGTAGGCCGTGTCGAGCCGGGTGATAAAGTTCCGATATGTTTCACCCTCCTTCACGCAGATGGTATAGCAGTAATCTTTCATCACACGTTGCAGCTCATCCTTCGAAGCTTCTTTGTATTTCTCGTCCAAGGTGTCCAGGACAAGCTTCCATCCGCTTTCCTTGGTGATATCATCAATATCCACCGCCTCGAGCAATTCCTCAGCCTCGCCGCTCAAGTGCTCTAATAGTCTAGCACCCCACTTTTTCTCTGGGACATTCGTGGGAAGGGGCATCAGATACAATTGAGCTCGTCTTCTCCATTTCCTGTATTCACTGGCGTCTGCGCCGTTGAACACTTCTAGACTTTTCGTATTGCCCTGGTCTTTGTCGGCTGAACTCATTCCGTCCTTCTTTTCTCCCCCGCGTCGCTCCCTTCACAGCTATCACAGGTTCCCCCGTGATAACTGATCCAGGAGCTCCGCTACCACTGACAGACTCAGCTTCGAGGAATCCCTCAGTGAACGTTGGTACATGGCATGACGATCCTTTTCAGCTAGGTTGACGGGGGGCTTGTGCCGATGCATAACGGATATCATTCACCGTTCTCACTGTACATGTGCATAGAGGATCGCTTCCTCATTTCACAACATTTAGAAAGGACCTTTGCTTCCAAATTACTTTTGTCGTAAGTCTCGCTGATTGGCAAGAAAACCAACTCCAAAGAAGTAAGCATGGGCTTGTGATTCTAGGACTCTAGGGCTTCTCTACCTCCCCTTTGATGGCCGAAGTCGTCTGAGTTCCCGGGCTGACTTCCCAGGCTTCATGTGGCTTCCAACGGTCGGCCACGGAGCCTGCCACCCGGCACTTTTTCGTGCTGAGCTGGGTGGGACCTTGTTGTGTGAGGGTGGTGACTGCCATGCTATGGCAGGAGGACATGAGTGTGCGTATAATATCCTGTATGTAAGGGACTCGCAAGGATCTTTGGTGGAATCTGGACTAAACTGACTAAACATTGTTGGTTTGCAAGTCTACCCTTTTTTCAAGACACAATGAGGTGTGTAGATCAAGGCAGCGCCTGCGTGTTCCATGCATTCGTCGTATGTTTCTGCTTTTGGGCTATTTTAGACGGACCAATCTCTCAGACAGACAGCATCAACAACGGATCAAACATTCAAAGGCAGTGTTCCATACAACGGAGCTAAGTCATCCACAGTAGACATTCTAGATTCTAGACTTGCTGCAACTCTCGGTGTTCGATTTCTGCGGGGTCTCCTTGATATAGCAAGACTATATCAGAATGAAACCTCGTAGGAGCCTGTGGGACTGGTGCACAAGTACATCTTCACCCTTCGTTGCTCCCTTCACTGCTCTTGAGGTCAGCACCGTGAGGATGTGTGGCTTCGAGTCCAAGACTTTCTTCGCTGAAGAGCGAAGAGTGAGACTCAAAATGAGAAAAGGCAACGGTCTCATGAAGGGATCCTCCAACGTTCGTATTCTTCACATAGTATCTTTAGTGGGTTTCTTTGCGAGGGGTTCCCGTATCATGAGACAGCCTTTTGGTGCAGGAAGATTGTGAGATCACGTTGGAACCAGGCCAGGGGCAGCAATTTTAATTCGAGAGATTGCATCGAAGCTTTTCCCTTGGTGGCTCAGCGGCCTAAACGGTTGAAGTTTGAACTCAGGGAAAACTCTTTGGGCTGAATGTTCTGAACAACCAGGCAAAGCTCTGAACACAGAGTTCGTGATGATGTGACAGTTCCCTCCAGTAGGGTCTAGTGGTCAGTGAACATCAAACATCAGCCCGCTGCTCCTCGGCTTTTCATCGGATGCCCTATTCTTTGGGGGACTTCCAAAAGTCCCAGTTCCATATCTTTGCAGCGTCGATAGTGTCCTTGGGCATGTCTTTCGCAGGGCTACATACTATTGAGGAAGACAGGACAGATTTCCTGGACATGTCGAGGGAGTTGGCAATGTGCAGCGACACTTCGAAGATGTTTCACGTCAACAGTGCCATGAGGAATCTCTAGGCGCTGCTGTGGGAATCTAACAGCGGCCAAAGCAGCAGCCTTTTTGGGGGCGTCCGAGATGAAAAAATGCTCAGTCCAAGAAGCTACTAGTAACAAGTGCATCGCTACTAGTAACAAGTGCATCGCTACTTGTAACAAGTGCCTTACTAGTAGTAACAAGGACGCTACCATCTTGCTGATTGGAATCGATTGAACACATATCGAATCCATCGGTCCGTTCGATCTACGCAGCTTCTCCGCAGGCGTAAACTCACGAACTGGACCACGGAGACGTCTGGCGGAGAGAAGCTGCTTGGTTATTCAAAGTAGTCTGAGATGCTCCACAAACCGAGAAACAGTTGGGAACTAAGAACTCTTATATACTAATTAATACAAATAGATCTCTCGAGCCTTGATTGGCTAAGGCCCAAAACCATGACCATCTTGCACTTCAACGACGTTTACAATGTGGAGCCAAGGGCCAAGGACGGAGAGTATGTTGTCCTCAAAAGGCGGGAAGGATGTGTCCGTGCGTAGTCACTGTGCCCTTTGCGGCTCAAATTTGTTCAACTGCCGGGTTTATCTTCTTAGATCTCAACGGGTGGAAAAGACGTTAGGCAGCAAATATTGAGTGAATTGAAGTGCTTCGAGCCACGTCGAAAAAAACAAGTGAAACACACCTAAGTGCATGCTATGATTGCCTTCCAAATGATGTCAGTTTTTTTCATCATCTCATCCCTCTATTCGTCTGAACTTCCTCCTTGCCGTCCAGGAGCCGGTTGGTGGCATCTCCCGCTTCGTCACCCGCATCAAGGAGTTGAAGGTCGGACGAAAGCCGTTGCCGCCAGATCGCGCGTGTTTGTGTGCCTACAATGCGCCCGTCTGTCGCCGGCCTGCGGATTCAGGCGGAATCGGTGGCTCGAGGAGAATATGAGGCAAGGCGACTTTTGGGAGATTTTGTGGGTCGATCTGTTGTCTGAGATTGGAGGCATCTTTATGATATTCTTGCTCCCATCCTTTCTTGTCATCCAACTTTGCTGCAGTGAGGCTGTCAAAGTCCTGTCTTGCTCAGTTGCTGAAGGGTTTGGATAGATTCAGAGCCGTTGACAGCGCCTGATCAGAATCTATGGATAAGCTTGATGGCGCTATGGCAAGCTGCTGTCAATGTATGTCAATAGCAGTGGAGCGACAACCACATTATATAATTGTATAGAACAGTACAGCGTGAACTGCCAACATTTGGCTCAAGACGCCCATAGAGAGCAGTAAAACAAGTGCACGGCTGCCTCATTGGATGGGTATAAGGATAGTCACTGCATACTTCCACTTGAAGTGATTAATATCCACACGCAGGTTATCAGCCGTAGCCGCTCTGAGGTTACGAGCTTGTGAGAGACCACTACTACAAATGTCAATACTGAACCTGCAATGTCGAGTTCTGGAGGAAAGAGCAGTGGATAATTCTCTTTCGCCGCGCCAGGAGGAGCTGCATCGCAGTCATTGCCAGGTTCGCTGACCGGTGCAAGCTCTGCTGATGCAATAATGACCATGCCAACGGGATCACAAGTTGCAGGTGAAGGCAGAGTCGCTCCCCCGGAGACGACATCTGCTGGATCCGATGTAAGGATGGGCAACGCAAAGAGAGTCATGAAAAGGTTTTCAAGATCTACATCACCGAGAACAACGACAAGAAGATCACCGAAGAGAGATACTGAGAGAGTTGAGATCGAAGATGCCAAAGATTTTGAAGAAAGAGAAATGCAACTCATGGAGGAACTCCGATCGGCTAGAGTATCATAAGAGTACCTAAATGATGAGTACAGCTGTCTGCATGATGAATATACGAGACTCCACGCTGAATCACAGGAGGAATTCTCGCACTTGACGAAATGCAATATGACTATGCACACACACACACCTGCAAGAAATGATGCAAGAGGATGAAGGAGCAACCATACACATTGAAGAACTCGAGAAGAAGCTCCGACTTGCTGAGTCATTTGCGGACCACATCTACATGAAGTACGAAGAACTCGCTCACGAGAATCATGAGGAACACTCTCAATTTGAAGAAGTAAGATCCAAGATGGAGGATATGACCACCGAGATGCAAGGTGCATTCCACTACATCCAGGAACAGAAACCAAACTTCTGATACCTACAACAGGCGAGCTGAGAATCTCAGTGAAGAAGACCAGGCGATCATGAACGTTGCCAACGAGCTTCAAATGAGAATGCTGACGCTGGAGGATGAGAATAGCAACATGTTGGAGGTAGCTCAGAGGGAGAGAGAGAGAGAGGCAATGGAGTAGTGAAGTGCATCAGATGCAGTTGGCCGATGAGGTCGCTGAGACTATTGGTCATCAGCATGAAGAACAGAGAATGGTTGAACACCTTCGTGGACAACTGGCGGCCATCAAAGGATCAGAGATGAACATGATCGCAGAGATCGGTCATCGTGACTTGGAACACAAGACGGAGATGCACGGATACACATTGGAGATCAATGAAAAGGAGATGAGAGCGAAACAGTTTCAGTACAGAGTGATGTCTGAAGCAACAAAAACGATAGAAGAAGCTGCAACCGAACTACAGAAGCAGTCGAAGGAGGAACAGCCGCAGCTGAAAGAAGCCAACTTTGCCCTTGCCGAGGCCAACAGAATATTGAAGAAGGAAAATCTCCTGAGAGCCTCCACGACTGATAGTAGAGAAAGGAAGGTACTTGAGGAGAAGTTCCAAGAACTTGACAAGAACCAACATATTGCCGAAAAGAAACTTGTGGAAGCGAGGTCTGAGAACGCAAAGATGAAGGCTGAGACTGAGATGCGTCACGGCCCAATGAGAGACGATAGCCGAGACGGACGAGGGTTACCAACCTCTCGATCCGATGAGGAGGATCACTCATGCTTGAAAGAAGATATCAAACATCAAGAGAGTGAAGTACATAGATTGAGAAGAGAACGTGACGAAGTGTATGATTGGTACTGGCACACTGAAGACTTCAACAGCTACGGGGAAGAATTTGAAGAAGCGCAAGAGTACGAGAAAGTGAATGCAGAGCTCAAACAGCGTCTTCCTCCTCACTGATCTTCACGACCAAATTTTCAGTACGTCAATTCTAGTGCTTGTGGCAGCACACTCCTTATGATTTGAAGGCTCAGGTTGCCCACAAGTTGTGCAAAATGCACCTACTCCCTTGTTATTTGCGGGTTCAGGTGGTGTGTCTTCTTGTTTTCTTGCTTTAAGTTACTTCAATGTTTGGCTGGATGTTTGCTCTCTTGGTGGCAAGAAGCATGGGGATACAAAAGATAGAAAAGTGTCTACCACTTAGTAATTGGCTGGTATGCCCAGTTTTATGCAGGCGCTGAGGTTGGTTGAATGTATGAGCTATGCATTGGTTGAAAGGAAAAATAAGAAGAAAAGATAAACATACAGTAAAAGAAGAAAGAAGAAAGAAGAAAGCAGAAGAAGAAGAGGAAGAGGAAGAGGAAGAAGAAGAAGAAGAAGAAGAAGCACACAGCATAGCGATACAAACAATAGAAAAACTGTAAACTGCCAAGTATCTGGGCCGCCTGCTTCTGCTGAGCCTGACAATGCAAAGTGGAGAGTGGCCATGCAAACAGCAAGATAGAAAAGTTTCTACCGCTGAGTAATTGCTTGGTATGCCCGGTTTTAGGCAGGTGCTGAGGTTTGTTGAATGTATGAGTTACGCATGGGTTGAAGGGAAACAGCAAAAGAAAGGAACCACACAAATATAGAAGAATAAGAAGGCAAGAAGAATACAGAAAGAAGAAATACAGAAACGGAAGGAAAAAGAAGAAAGAAACAACAAAGAAGAAGAACCAGAAGAAAGAAGAAGACGGAAAGAAGAAACAACATAAAAACCAGCATAGGGATACAAAAGATAGAAACACTGTAAACTGCCAAGTATCTGGGCCTGCTTCTGCGGAGTCTGACAATGCAAACTGGAGTGTGGCCATACAAACAGCATGGGGATACAAAAGATGGAAACGTGTGTACCACTTAGTAATTGGCTGGTATGCCCAGTTTTAGGGAGGCGCTGAGGTTTTTGAATGTATATATTTGGGCCTGGTTCTGTTGAGTCTGACAATCCAAATGAGTGTGTCCCGTGCAAACAGCATGGGGATACAAAAGATGGAAAAGAGGGAACAAATCTTGTGTCCATGATTCTCATGGATGCTGATGCTGTTTTGTTGAGTGAGGTGTGTGAAATAGGTACCAACCCTCCGCCCGTCGCTCCCTTTCCAACAGCAAACACAGAGAATGAGGGTATATGAAGGTATATGTATATATACAGGAATCCGGATACACTTGCAGCGAATGTTTTGCAGTGTGGTCACACGTGAACATGTCTGTGCAAATAGCGGGGAAGTATGAGATTTTTATATAATCTGAACTTTTCTATCTTTTGTATCGTGCTGGTATCTGCGGCAAAAGCTGTCATGTCTGGCCCAATTTGTCTTGAAGTTGATTGAAACCGGCTAACATTTTCCAGGATGTAACTTTTCTATCTTTTGTTTCTCCCTGGTATTTACACAAGATTGTGCACGTGTGACATCGGTCATGTTGTGTGATTTTGACAACTTTGTGTAAATAGCAGCACGAAACAAAAGATAGAACCGTTGTCCGATATGGGAAATTGACCTAAACTTTTCCAGGATCCGACTTTTCTATCTTTTTGGGGATCACTATACTCCTCAACTTCAAGACGACATCCAATAACACGGGCACTCTTTTGGAAGGTTGTGGAAGATTAGCTCTTTGGCCCTTTGGCTACTGAGTGATACGTATGATATGGTGATATGGCTCACTTGACTTAGCCACACAGGGAACGATGTCTGCGCTTTTGCTTCCTGGAATGATGTCCCCTCAAGGTGAAGGGGTTGCTTCCGAACGTGGTTTCAGGGGCCGCAATCGAACGCGGTTTCAAGGGTCGATTTGAAGTCCATAGTAGTAAGACTACCTAGTAGCGTGTTTGCTCCTAGTGCGATGCCAGCCCCTAGTAGCCAACATTGTTCCTTGCTTGAGGGCACTGTTTGTTGGTTGGCCACAGGGGTCGTAGTGTCCTTGGGCCTGTTGACCGAGACAGCTTCCGCACCTATTGCCACCTTCACCCTGACCCCCCACCCCATTCACTAGATTGGCTGATGGTTGAGTTGCCGTTCCTATTCTTCACAACCTGTTGCCACCTTCAACCCCGACCCCCACCTCACCCATTAGATTGGCTAGTGTTTGAAGGAGGATTGGGCCCTCGTTTTAACGTTACCCTTCAAAGTTTGTTCTGCAGTGACCCTATTGCCTCCACAGAGTGTCCAGTTTTGATGACCTGCTGTGCTGTCTCCTGCATATCGGATTGACAGGACTTGGTTTGTTTCGAGTGAGTGTTTGCCATTGCCAAAGACAGGCTGTGGTCCTTTTCAGTGGAGATGCGTTCAATCCATCCCTGATGTGACCTGGCTGAGAATGCAGATTTGGAATCACCATGTGCATTTTAGGGCCTATGACGAAGAAAGACTTATGATCTCTAGCAAAACCAAAAGATGTCAAGGAAGTTAGCGTGCTAGGGGTAGTTGATAGCTTGGGCAGCTCGTTTATGCGTTTGCGATCCTGAACAACTCCTCCCCGACTTTTGAGAAGGTTCTATTGTGCATGTGGAAGAACGGTGACAGTTGGTGTAGTTTAGGATGAGACCAAGGGGAGTGATCGACCATGCCACTGAGGTCCACCACCACGCATGGTAAGTGTGTCTGGCATGGTATTGGATTTCGATGCTGATTCAGTCTGCGTGAGTGCGCTCAATGGTTTCAAAAGGATTCAAGGTCACGCAGAAAGCTTCGTTCGGGACGGTTTCCCTGGGAAGCATGCTGCTTGGGTATGGAATTCCGAGTTCCATGGGCCATGGGTATTTTCCTGCGGATTGGGCATTCCGAAGAGGTACTGTATCTTATCTTTGGTGCCATTTGGGGTATTCTCAAGGTGGTAGCAGCATGGCGACTCTTCTGCAAGTCCTCTAACAGTGTGGCGTTCCTGCGCCAGGCACATGATCAAGGCCCTGAATGCGATTGGTTCGGTTCGCCCAATGACGACTGGTTCGGATTCGGTGTTTCTGCAGTGGTTCCTTGGGAGTTGCGAAGCACGAATGGGCTCCGACTTGACGAGAATGAAGATCGCCGCGAAGAAGGTGTGAACACAGAGGATTCCTTTCAGAGCTCCGGAGTTGGAAGGTGTTGTGATTTTCGAACTCGTGTGAGTGGGCAGCCTCTCAGGCATTCACACAGCATGCTATGGCAATCATGATTTTGACTTTGGGGTTGACAATCTCGAAGCGTCAGGAGCCTCAGCTGGCAAGACAGATGTACGAGACGTGCAAGACAGATGACCGAGAAGTCACATTGCATAGGTGCATAGGTGTTTCAGTAGAAGCGGACATGCAAAGTGTTTCGATGGTTTTGTGAATTTTGATCACAGTATAAAGGAGTGGAATGGCAGCATGTTTGTTTGCACTGTGGATTGCAGTGGATCTTCCCAGAGACTGAAACTCCGCAGCTACTGCGTGGCTCTGTATTTGAGGAAGAGGCCCTTGGCTGTGGCCAAGAAGCCTGGACATTTGGAATAGACTCGTAGACTCGTAGTATTTACATCCATCTTGGCGTGGCCCCATGTCAACCGAACGTGTACTGCAGTCGCTGAAGTACACCAGGATGTGCAAGCTGCACAGACTGCAAGGAGCTGTGGGAAGTCTGCAAACGTAAATTGTTCACGAGGTTTTGCGGTTTTGGAATGTTTTGGAGTATTTGTGTGTCTGTGAGTGTGTGTGTGTCAACGCCTGTTTCCAAGGATTTCTCAAACTCCACCTTACGACTTTTTTGATCTTTTTACTCTGGACTGTTTCCAACAATTCCCTACTATACAGCAGCAGGGGGGCTGGTTGTTCATGCAAGTACCAGCCCAACGAAGAGGCTTGCATTGAACACTGATATCGGTGGGGACGCTCACCGACGTACCTGCTCGAATTTTTAACCCAGCTCGAAGGCCTCCAGCAGTTCAATCCCAAAACATGGTTATAACACCTTCAAATCCGCGGACCCATCACCTTTCCTTTTTGCGCTTTTTTCAGTCAAGGTCTAATGCGTGTAAAATGGGACTTCATACTGATCCTAGCTCTTGCGAGCAACCATCTAAGTGTGTATCGCCACAGAGTCCCACTGGGGCTGTGGTGTGATCCCCTTCGAGGGGCGCCGCGTGTGCATAGACCCAGATCCTGGGGATTGCTTCCACCTTGTCATTTCGTTCGATTCCTTCTGATTTGCTGTCATTGCTCGATATTACTGATACTATGCCGCAGGGCTCACTGAGACTCAAACTTTGATCCGGATTTGCATCGTCGTGCGAGCATGTGTCTAAGTAGTCACGGGCGGGGCTCAGCACTCAGACATGGCACTAGGTGCAACATTCAGCTTGTCTTCTTCCCTCCAGTTCGCCATGAACTACCAGTGGATCCTCAGGCTTCACCGATGACGAGTACCATCATTGACGGCTCCTTCGGCTCCTTATGGATCGATGCCAACAATGCAATTTCAAGTCCCTCAGCTTCAGCCACATATGAGCCACTCACCTCGTCAGTACACCTTGTTCAGCTCCCACCTACGATCCAATCCATTCCCACTTCGACTCAGCCGCAACCCTTTCAACAGCCCGACCCCACTCCAACTTGGGGTCTACCAGCCCCCCTTGTTACACCACCGCCCCACTCACCCACTTGGCCACAAGCGATCAGGCTGCTGCACCCACAGGCTCCCCTATTGCGAGTTCTCAGCCAGTACCAGCTCACCATGAGAACAATCCCTCAATTCACCCCCCGGCAACACCCACCGTACCTACCGCTCCTTCACCAATACTGGCTCCTTCACCGACTCCACCGCCGCCACTCACCACGTCACTCAGCACGTCTCCAGCTACCGCTCCAGTTTCAACTCCACCCACTGGCACCACGGACACCACTCCAACCCATGCTGGCGCTCCCACACCGTCCAATCCTACGATTCCCCAACAGCCACGCCTACCAAGGCCAAGGCCCCGACCTCTTGTCCATCGTCCATTAATATCACCGTTCCCACCCCACATCCCCCTCCACATCCGGCCTCCACTGCGGCGCCAACACAACGCCTCCCCCAGCGGCCCACCACCACTTCCAAGAGTTCTGCCGGCCACGCTCCGGCTCCTGGTCCACCTCAACGTCCAGCTACCAGGCCTCAGCCACCATCTCACCCCCCATCCGCGCAAGGAGTTTGGGCACCGCCACCATTGACCAGCTACAATACCAGGACTCGCTCTCGCTCCCCACGAAAGGAACTGCGGGAGAAGATCACGGGCACCAGAGACGAAAGCGCCAGCCGACACAAAGCCCGACGCATCGCCCCTCCTGGCGGCACAGGCAGCTCATCCTCCACTGCCCGCCCCGCTCATCGCAACCGGCCGCCCCCACCGCCTCCACCACGAAGGTGGGGTCCGTGAAGGGGACCGAGCCGCCACCTGCCCAGGGAATCATGTGAAAGTGGTGGCCTTAGCCATTGTTTTCCTCTGCTAAGGGTGCCATCCTGGATATGTTTGCGCAATTATTCGGCTCAAACAGACAGAGTAGATATGTTGAGCCAGCAACAACCAGGGATAATGCCACATGACCGGTATGCCATTGTCGAAAAAGATCGGGTAGCAACCTTACACGGTAGACTACCTCCCCTGGATCTTTAGCTCACAACAGGCTCTCACACTCGTCCGGTACGGTACGAAACCTTTCCTTCAAACCTCCGAACACTTCGGAAAACTTCAAACGCTGCACAAGCTGCTCTCAGACACTCGCACCCTTTTCTCACACTAGCCAAACGAATTGGCCTTGAGCCAAAACATATCCCGTAGCACTAAACTATACAAAGAACACACGAAGAACATATTAAAAGTCTCTTAAAGTATCTCCACATACAAAGAACTCTTTCAAAACTTCCGACTACGCTACAAGTCTCTTTCAAACAATCAAGAAACAAAATGTTGTACTACCGCCAGGTTCCAAATCTTTCACAAACAAACTTAAACGATATTTATGCATCGCAAACTGCAAGCATCGAGCGAGGTGGACATCCCGACATGGAATTTCTTCACCCCCTCTTGGACACAAAGCTCGAAACGAACTGGCTGGCTTTAAGCCTTCTTATTCTTCTTCAATGAGGACAGACATTTGGCACAAATATCTTTCGACATAGGTACGTGCATGCCCGAGCAAGTTGGATTCAAATGAACCTTGCTCCCACTCACTGAAAAATATACCTTTGAGCATTGCTCAATGCCTTTTGGAACTGGATAGCCCTTCGGCGTATCGACTTTAAAAGTCACTTGGCTCTCAGGCTCAGCATGCTTCCGACACCGCAGGCAGCAGCAGGTCAGCAGGCGTCCCAAAAGAAAACCAGCTGCAAAGACCAGAGCGGTCGCTGCTTCCAGGCTCAGCGCCGCAAGCGCCGTTTCCACATCCGGCATCATACCTCGGATGGTAGAAGCTTCATTCCAAGAAAAGCTGTATCTCACAGTCTGCAAAACCCAGATTCTTTCGAAATGTGCAATCGAAAGTGCTCGCAAAAACGTGCCATTCGGCTCAGACAACGTGCAAGACTTACTTGGCTATTAGGATCCTAATTCGGCTTTAAATCCTTTAAGGATTAGCTCGCAAAGTCTCCTGGGGTAGTGTTGCGTTTCCTTCCAATTGACTTCCTTGGACGGCAAATGATCATGACGACCATCACAAACGCAAACCTTCAGGCTTTCCAACAACCGAGTACTATCTGTCTCAATCCTCCAGGTCTTTCTGATCAACTGACCTTTCTGGTTCAACTTGACTGAACAAGCATCCACAAATGTTGAAAACGTCTTTCGTTTCCTCAGAAAATCTCTAGTCTGATTCCATCCCCAATAAGCACATCTCTTCGGCCATTCAATCGCTACGAAATCGGCTACTTCCGACATCCGTAAGAAACCTTTCCATAGCTTCTTCTGAATCTGGTACAAATCTCGAAGATGACCCATACAGTCCTGACCAAACTTCTTGATGCAAATATACTGAAACGGACATCCTCCGCTACACGGAATTGACGACCACAAGACAACGAGCTTTCCTCTCTTTCGATGGCTCATCATCTGCTCCCGAACTGACTCGATCGTGTCCGATCGGGTTCCGTCATCCGCCTCAGTGACAGTCAAGACTTCAACACCGACTTCTTTCATCTCGGACTCCGGTGATGTGCAAAACTCAACCATCAGGATTTCGGTACATGTGACCTTATCCATGACCCACAACCATCTCCCGATCCAGTCATACGGCACTTCGAATGAAATGAGAAATGATGTGACAACTCCGATCGTCTCCATATGTTGTAAAGTCACAGCTCTCGACAATGCCTTGGTCATCAAGTCGGCACAATTCTTGGTGCCTCGGACAAAGCTGATGGAAATCACTCCCTTGTACACTGCATCTTGCAAAAACAGATCCGAATGTCTATGTGTCTCAATCTTCTCAACAACCCTGACATCTCTGTGACATTTCGGGCTGCCATCGAATCCGTAAGCAAAACTGGAATGGGCAATTCCTCAGCTTGACATCCATAGACGTGTGCCACGGCATGTTGAATACCTATAGTCTCTTTCGCTCCCTCGAACAAAGCATATAGCTCTGCCTCGGCTGAACTACAGGCTACACTCTGCTGCAACCTACTGAATGCTTTGACGCAACAGTCACTAACGAAGATGGCTGCTCCTGAAGTACTCTTCCTATTTGTGGACTTTTCGGCTGCCCAACTGGCATCGACATAGGTCGTAATCCTTGGTGGTCCTGAGTACTCATAGCTTCTGAATTTCAACTTTCGATCGGCTACTGATCGGATGTAACGGATACTCGCACGCATCGCAGTCTCGTGTACAGCTAGCGGCTGAGATTGACCCCGGGCAAGCATCGAACGCAACCAACAAAGATCAGGTCTCGACTGAGCTACCCAACCTAGCTTACCTAGTGCGGTTCGAAAAGTTGCTGCTGCCTCGGGCGATAACGATTTCCGATCGTCTTCTTCCCGGTCACGCCGACTCACTCCCAACCCCAGGCATTCTGACACACCAGCACTCACTCCCAACCCCAGGCATTCTGACACACCGGCGCCCACTCTATCCACACCAGTCCGAACTTTTGTGGGATTCACGGCCGCCTCCACGAGGGTAGAACCAGTAGACCCGCTTCGACGACCTCCCATTTCGTGCACACTGAAGCAGACCGAGACATCGCCAGGCAGACCTATGGCTCCAACACCCTCAAAAGCATCCTTCATTTCTTACATCGCCAATGTGATCAACTTGCTCCTTCAAACTCCCTCATGCTGGAGTACGTGGCCAAAGTTCTCACCAACGCACGCATCAAGGCTATCGACCGCAAAGACGTGGAAGAATGGACAAGAATGGACCCACTCCGACTGGAAGGCTGACGTGAACACGAAATATTTCTCTCTACATTCCACGACTCCAAGACAAGAACCGTGTCCCGCACATTCCTCGTCCATGTCTTTGCGTGCCATGCTACTGAAGAGGGCAACCTACTCAACCTCCTCCAGTCCGGACGATTCAAGCCAAGCACGCAGCACTCCCGGGACGCTCAGGGTTTCTACGCCCAAGGCTACGAGA